TGATATCTCATTGTGGTTTTGATTTGCATTTCTCCAGTGACTAGCGATGGTGGACATTTTTTCATATACCCATTGACCATTTCTATGTCTTCTTTGAGAAATGTGTATTCAGTTCTTTTGCCCATTTTTTAATCAGATTATTTGGTTTTTTGTTGTTGTTGTTGTTGTTTTCCTGCTGTTGAGTTGTTTGAATTCCTAATCTATTTTGGATATTAACTCTTTATCAGATGTATAGTTTGCCAATATCTTCTCTCATTCTGTAGGTTGTCTCTTCACTCTGTTGATTATTTCCTTTGCAGGATAGAAGCTTTTTAGTTTGATATAATCCCATTTATTCATTTTTGCTTTTGTTCCATGTGCTTTTGAAGTTTTATCCATAAAATATTTGCCCAGACCAAAGTCATGAAGCATTTCCCCTGTTTTCTTCTAGTAGTTTCATAGTTTGGGTCATAGATTTTTCAATCTTTAATCTATTTTCCGTTGATTTTTGTATCTGATGAGAGACAGGAGTCCAGCTTCATTTTTCTGCATGTGGATATCTAAGTTTCCCAGCACCATTTATGGAAGAGACCACGCTTTGCCCAGCGTGTATTCTTGGAACCTTTGTCAAAAATCATTTGACTGTAATGTGTGGATTTATTTCTGGGCTTTCTGATTCTCTTTGTCTGTGTGTCTGTTTTTATGCCAGCATCATGCTGTTTTGGTTATTGTAGCTTTGTAGTATATTTCGAAGTCAGGTAGTGTAATATCTTCACCTTTGTTCTTTTTGCTCAAAATTCTTTTGGCTATTTGGGGTCTTTTGTGGTTCTATACAAATATTAGGATTTTTTTTTCTTGTCCTGAGAAGAATTGGTATTTTGATAGGCATTGTGTTGAATCTGTAGATCATAGTGGGTAGTATGGTCATTTTAACAATATTCTTCCAATCCATGAACACAAGATATCTTCCCATTTATTTGTGTCTTCTTCAATTCTTCCTTTATTTTTTGACAGTCTCACTTTGTAACCCAAGTTGGAGTATAGTGCCGCAATCTCAGCTCACTACAACCTCTGCCTCCCAGATTCAAGCAATTCTCGTGCCTCAGCCTCCTGAGAAGCTGGGATTACAGGCCCGTGCCACCATGCCCAGCTAATATTTGTATTTTTAGTAGAAACAGGGTTTCTCCATGTTGGCCAGGCTGGTCTCAAACTCCTGATCTCAGGTGATCTGCCCACCTCAGCCTCCCAAAGTGCTACGATTACAGGCATGTGCCACCACACCTGGCCTGCTTCAGTTCTTTCATTGGTGTTTTATAGTTTTCACTGTAGAGATCTTTCACCTCCTGGGTTAAATTAAATCCTGAGTATTTTGGGTTTTTGTAGCTATTATAAATGGGATTTTTTAAAATTTCTATTTCAGATAGTTGTCTATTAGTGTATAGAAATGCTACTGATTTTTTATGTTGAGTTTATATCTCGTAACTTTACCAAATTTATTAGTTTTGACAGTTTCTTGATGGAGTCATTAGGGTTTTCCATATATAAGATTATGTCATCTGCAAACAGGGACAGTTTAACTTCCTTGTTTCCATATTTGGATGCCTTTTATTTCTTTGCCTTGCCTGACTGCTCTGACAAGGACTTCCAGTACTACGTTGAACAGAGTAGCAAGAGCAGGCATTCTTGTCTTGTTCCTGGTCTTTTTTTTTCCCCCTTTATTTTTATTTTTATTTTATTTTATTATTTTTGTAGAAACTGGGTCTTGCTATGCCACCCAGGCTGGTCTCGAACTCCTGGGCTCAAGCGACCCTTCCACCTCAGCCTCCCAAAGTTCTGGGATTACAGGTGTGAGCCACCGCACCCGGCCTTGTTCCAGATCTTGAAGGGAAAGCTTCCAACTTTTCCCCATTCGATTAGCTTTGTCTTTGTTTTATTAACCCCGTATTTAATTCTGTGACCCTGCTAAACTCATTCTTTTTAAATCTAGGAACTTTTTCTAGATTCTTTGGTTTTTCCTATATAGAAAATCATACAGTGTGCAAGTAAAGACAGTTTTGCTTTTTCCTTTTCAACGTGTATGCCTTTCATTTTTTTCTCTTGCCTTATTGCCCCATCTGGGACCTCCAGTACAGTGTTCATAGAATTAGTGAGAGTGAGCATCCTTGCCTGGCCCTTGAGTCATACTGGGAAAACATTTCGTATTTTACCATGAAGTCTGTTAGTGATAGGTTTATGTATATGCTTTTCATCCGATTGAGGGTGTTGTTTATTGTTACTGATGTTTTGCCTTTTTTTCTTATAGCAGAAGACTCAGAAAGTGGTGTTTACATGCGATTCATGAGGTCACACAAGTGTTATGACATCGTTCCAACCAGTTCAAAGCTTGTCGTCTTTGATACTACATTACAAGTAAGTGTACTCAGTTTTCATGAATTTTTTGTTTCACTTTTGGATGGCTACTGCTTTATGCAGTCATTTAAAACCAGCAATGCCAGCAAACGTTTATTGAGTCCTTTGCACTATCAGGCACTGTGCAGAGGTTTTATCTGAATTCTTAACATGTGCTATTACTGTCTTCTTCCTGAAGACAGGGAAGCTCAAATTATAGAGTTTAAGAACTTAAGTCAGGAAGCTTTGGCCAGGTGCAATGGCTCACGCCTGTAATCCCAGCACTTTGGGAGGCCAAGGCTGGCAGATTACCTGAGGGTCGGAAGTTGGAGACCAGCCTGGCTAACGTGATGAAACCCCATCTCTACTAAAAATACAAAATTAACCGGGTGCGGTGGTGCATGCCTCTAGTCCCAGCTACTCAGGACCCTGAGGCAGGAGAATCGCTTGAACCCAGGAGGCAGAGGTTGCAGTGAGCCGAGATTATGCCACTGCACTCCAGCCTGACAACAGAGCGAGACTCCATCTCAAAAAAAAAAAAAAAACAGAAAGAAAGCAAGCTAGGACCTAATCCACAGAGCTAGTACAAGATGGGGTTTTGAACACAGGGCTGTCTAATGTGTGTTAGAACCTAAGCTGTTCATTATTAAACTGTAGAGCCTCACTCAGTATATCCTCATGGTCTTTAAGTTATTTAGTTGAACATATGATACATAAACTTGAGATAATAATGGTGAAAAAGAAGACAATCACTAAAATGGGCAATCTCTTGAGAGAAGAACCTTACCAATCTCTTTTCACAGAACATTTGAATCTTAACATTTTGGTATTAAAATTATGCTTGTTGCAACTTACTTTATATCAATGTAACTTATAATCACATACGAACAGTCCTAAATATTATACTCAATACAGTGATCAAACTACATTCTATGTAATCAAATGTGTGTCTACCCACATATCTGTGCATATACATTTAGTGTATTGTTTCTATATAAATATTTTCCAAGTAGGATTGTCCTCAGTCGAGTTCCTCAGAAGTAAATGCTAAACCAAGAGTTCACGGGCAAGTGGTTTATGAAGGATGCACTCCCAGGAGGAAGCATGAAGGGATCAGAGGAAGAGCAGGGCAGGGGAAGACACCCAGCCAGGGCCCTGCAAGGGTGGCCTCAGCCTGAGCCCTCGGGAGCTCCGGCTGAAAGGTGCCCTGGAGCGTGTCCAACCCCTCCCATAGCCCTGCCTTAGGTGATCCTCCCAGGCTCTTCCTGCTCCACCAGACCCTTTAGACCTCCCCAGGAACCCCCAGGTGTGGCCTGCTTCTGCTCCCACGCCCCACACCTGCCATGCGTCCTCAGAGGGCTCCCCGGGTTCTTGGAGCACCTTACCTGTATTCTGTGCCTGCCACCCAGGACTTACAGGATGACCAAAAATGATGTTGCTTTCGTTTAATTTCATTTTCCAATTGTTTCTTGTTAACATATGGAAATACAATTGATTTTTGCAAATTGGCTTTATATCCTTTGTCTTTGCTGAGTTCACTTTGGACCAGGTGACCTTCAGAGCCACTTTTAAAACCCTAAGATTCTCTGATTATTTGACACAAAGAGGAAAGCATGCAAATACAATCTTATAGTAGGGAAAATGGTAGGCAGTCGTTTTAAGAGATGCCGTCTCGAGAACTGTGACCACGTGTTTCAATAACAAAATAACAAGAAGTTCTGAATTCCCAAGATAAAGGAACTACTGGCTCAGCCTATTTCAGCCTCACCCCCATCCCCCAGGAGGTTTACTTTGTAAAATACCAGATCTTCTGACCACCGGCATTTCTACCAACATAAAAATAAGTGACAGTAGGCCGGGCACAGTGGCTCACACCTGTAATCCCAGCACTTTGGGAGGCCGAGGCGGGCAGAGCACTTGAGGTTAGGAGTTCAAGATCACCCTGGCCAACATGGTGAAACCCCATCTCTACTAAGAATACAAAAATTAAAATTATTAGCTGGGTGTGGTGGCAGGCACCTGTAGTCCCAGCTACTCAGGAGGCTGAGGCAGGAGGATCGCTTCAACCCAGGAGGTGGAGGCTACAGTGAGCCGAGATCGTGCCACGGCACTCCAGCCTGGATGACAGAGTGAGACTCCAACAAAGCAAGACTCTCAAAAAATGACAGTAACAAGTAACAGCTGGTTTGACTTTTACCCAGCTTTCCACGTATTACTCATTTTGGCTAAACCCTAAAGAAAATCGAATGAGTAATACATGAAAAATGCGATACCTTATGGATGTCCAAGATCACCGATCCAGTAAATATCACTTCCCTAATTAACAGGAGCTGTGAGCATCATCTCCGGGAAGCCGTTTATCCTGTGAGGCTCTGAGTTTGAGAGGAGCTGAGATGCATTACCATGGAAATAGGGGGAGAAAGTTGTTTGGCATTGGTTAAGTCAGAGTAAAAGTTGTATTTGCAAGGGGGTGATTTGAGTATTTTCTAGACACAGGCTGCAGTAATAGTTATTGACACACCCTCGAGAGCTAAGAAAGCAAACAGAAAATAGCCGTGTACCCAAAACAACCTAAGAGATTAAATAAATCCTTGCATAGGAATATAACAGAATACTGCATACTGGAGAAAATGTTTGTCAAGAGTATATTCATTTATTAGGAAAAAAAAAAGTAAGCTGCAGAACAGTACTCAAAATGACCACGTTACTCTGAGGGTACAACATCCTCAGAGCCATAACTGCTCTGGGGACCAAGGCGAGCCACTTGCAGGGAAGCTGAAAGAGTGTGTGCAGACAGGAGTAGAACAGAGCCCACGAGAGGAGAGCAGAATGGGAGGGTGTGCCGCCAGAATGAGGGGGGACGAGCAGTCTCGGGCTTGGCTTTTCTGTTTCCATCTTCAGTCTCTTGAGAGGCCGACTGGACTCCCTGCGGTTTGGTTCCATGAGATTCCCCTGGTTTAATACTGGAATCACCCTGGGGATCCGTGTAGATATGTCCTGGCCATCTCAGTCCTGATAAAGTGGAAATCAGATGTCCAGCTGGGAGGTCTGCCTGCTGGGAGATGTAATCCCCACTGTCCTCAAGAGCCACACTCTGCAGTGCCAGCAGCGGCCAGCCCAGCAGGAGAAGCACCTGTAAACCAAGCCCAGCTTTTTCTCCGTCAGTCAGTGGCTCATAAGGAGCTCCCCCGAGTCTGGGTGTGGATCGAAGTAGGGGAGGCACCAGTGGCAGAGCAGCTGCATCATGTACCCGTGCAGCGTCCGTGTGCTTCACAGGCCTGGGCAAGCCCCGTCTCTGCCTGGCGAGAGAGGGTTGCTGTGCACACTCAGCATTCGGCCTGGAGGGCCTGGTAGTTCCTTGTTTGCGATGGGGAGCTCAGGTTGCATGGTCTCCGCGTCTCATGGCTAGCTTGTTCAGTCTCTGCAAGGGCCTGGCGCAATCAGCCAGAACTGTTTCCCAGCGAAAGTCATCTGTAGGAGAAGATATGGTTGTTTTGGAGTTAATCTTCCCTCAAAACCCTCAATGTCTACTCTGTAAATTTCCTTTTGGTGGAGGCTTCCTACAGCATCCCTGATATCAACCTTGCTGGATCCTAAGGCTACACAGAAGAGCAACCTGGACTTGCCACATGCCTGATCTTGCCCCAGGCCTCTCTGAAAACAGCTTTTAGTGTCACTCAGTACCTGTGTCAGAGTAGCACACACACATGTGGTGCACGTTGCCTCCAAAACACCTGCCTGGTGGTTGTAGTGGCAGGTGAAGTGTGGAATGACAACTTGAAGCTCTCATTGGAGGGGTGTCTCCAGTGTTTCAGGCCATTCTGGGGTGTGAGACCGCTGGTTCTTTGGGGTCTGTCCCTCACGCTGTGCCCTGCACATATCTCACAGAGGCACCTAGAGCTCTGCTACTTCCTGCCTGTCCAGTCCAGCCCACACTGCCATCAGCGCATGGGCCAGTGTGGCAATGTGCAGTGTGAAGATGGCCAGCTTCTCTGCAGACCATAATAAGGTACAGAGCGGGGGTGCTGCAGCCTTGAGACACGTGGGTGAAAGTGTCCTGTTGCCAGGTAAAGCAGACTCTGTCTGGGGGTCCTTGTAGATTGGTATAGAGAAAGGAGTATGTGCCCAGGCAGGGGCTGTAGGTCCCCCAAGATACTACATTGGGAACAGCTGCTGCAGTGACAAGTTCACTTTTCCGATTGAAGGGGTCCCTCACCTGTATGTTCCTCAGGGGCTCCAGGAGGAGTATCCTCTGGGTATGGAATGTGCAAGTGGCACGTGACAAATCCGTGCCAGTGCCCCTGTCTCCCTTAGCCTGTGGATTCCTTCTGTATAGTTCACTGTGCCACAGAAGCCTGGCATCTCAGCCTTATTAAACACGGACTCAGCAGTGCCCTGCACTTCGGGCAGTCAACCAAGTGAGCAGTTAGAGCCACTGCCGGCTACGTTTGCAAAATGTTAACGGACAATTACTGGTGAGACCGCTCAGAGCAATCAGTCCCACCAAACGAGTGTTAAATTTCTCGTCTTTGTCCTGACTTACTAGCACCGTTCCCTTCCTGGGTTTCTGCAACTGTGAAATGGCAAGATCTCACAGTTTGTTTGGCGTATAAGTGGTTTCGTCCCCTGCTGCATGCAGAAACCTGTCCCTAGTTACAGGTCAAGGGGCGGCAATGGCCGGCTGGGGTTTTCTCTGGGAGGGTGAGAGGCCTGCGCTAGGCGTCTGCCCCATCCTGTCACTAGGCTTTCGAGTAAAGAAAGGTGATTCTCAGACACTGGAGAGCCAGCCGTTCCCACTGCCATGGGAGGCTCGGAGGAACTCCCGGATCTGGAATCTCACCTTCATCTGAGTCCAGTCAGACGTCCCTCTGTCCGGTGCCGGGGTCCCGCTCCTTCCAGATCCATGCCCGGCTTTCCCATCAAACCCAGAGATGCCGCCAATTCTGCCTGTGCATCCACACCCCGCAGAGTTATGCTTTGTGTTTGGTTTTGGAAACAGCCCTGTAGCTATGAGAAATAGATTCTCTGGGGACTACCATAGAGGCTGTTGGGTTCTCTGTCTGTAAGTGCAGGTCCCGTACCCGGGCTTGTGGTTTTCTCAGAGGCCCCAGCATACTCACAGGAGGCTCTCACACTGAGTCCTTTGGTCCTGGCTTCTGTGTCAGTGGCCAGTACAGTGGCCATGTGGGCCCTGGCACCCAGATGTCACCACAGTCACAGATGATGACTTGTTTAGTCACAGTGCCATGGCCTGCCCTGGATTACAGGAATCTGATGTCCCACTGACAAAGAGCTCAACACTGTGTTAAACCCACTGATGGGAAACCAATTCCAAGTCCTCTGTTTCTAGGAACCAGTCTTGGCCGTTTCTTTTCTTTCTTCTTCTTTTTTTTTTTTTTTTTTTTTTTTTAAGATAGGGTCTCACTCTGTCACCCAGGCTGAAGTACAGTGGTATGATCTTGGCTCACTGCAACCTCCGCCTCCCAGGTTCAAGCAATTCTTGTGCCTCAACCACCCAAGTAGCTGGGATTTCAGGCGCCCGCCACCACACCTGGCTAATTTTTTGTATTTTTAGTAGAGGTGGTGGGTTTTCACCATGTTGGACAGGCTGTCCTCAAACTCCTGGCTTCTTGACCTGTCTGCCTCCGCCTCCCAAAGTGCTGGGACTACAGTTTTGAGCCACCGTGCCTGGCCATGGTGCCAGTTTCTTGATCAGTCAAGGTTCAGTCAGGAGACAGAAGCCACACCAGTTATTTAAACAGAAAAAGAACATAAGCAAATGTTAACTGGATCTAAGTTAACTTGTAACTGAAAGGATAAATAAAGACCTCTAAGGCAGTGTTCTCAAAGTCTGGTTCCCAGACCAGTAGCTCAGCATCAACTGGAACTTATAAAAACACAGCTCATTGGACCCAATCTCAGACCCGAATCTGAAATGGGGAGATGAGGCTCAGTGACCCACATTTTACCATGATGCTGAGTCTGATGTACTCTACAGTGTCATGGAGGAGAGGGCATCCTGGCATGTGCCTTCTAGCTGGTGCTTATGTCTCTGAGTGGGGGGCTTGAGGAAGCTCATTTCGCACAAAATGGGAAAACAACAAACTGTATTCAGCTGCTGCTCCTACAGTGCCCAGGTAAGGCATTGCCTGGGTGGAACTCACGGGAGCTGCAGGCAGACGGGAACCCTGCTGGCCGCTGACGGGAGGAGCAAGCTTCCTCCTGCTCCGGCTTTGAATCCCTCCCTAGACTCCTTTATTGTCAGAGCCTGAAATAGAGCCAGCTGGCAACACTGAAACAGGGCCTACAAAGTCCCAGCATCACGGAGCCAAGTTAGAGGGGTGGACATGGAGCCAAGAGACAGTAACTTAATGACTGGCACAGTAGAAAGGGGGGACATCCCATTCCCTTCCAGACAAGCCCAGGAATTCAGAGAAAGATAGGTATCAGTTAGTGTATTAGCCCGTTTTCATGCTGCCAATAAAGACATACCTGAGACTGGGTAATTTATAAAGGAAAAGAGGTTTAATGGACTCACAGTTCCATGTGACTGGGGAGGCCTCACAATCAAGGTGGAAGGCAAGAAGCAAGTCATGTCTTACATGGATGGCAGCAAGCAGAGAGAGAGAGCTTGTGCAGGGGAACTCCTCTTTCTAAAACCATCAGATTGCTGGGTGTGGTGTCTCACACCTGTAATCCCAGCACTCTGGGAGGCCAAGGTGGGTGGATCACTTGAGACCAGGAGTTTGAGACCAGCCTGACCAACACGGCAAAACCCTGTCTCTACTAAAAATATGAAAATTAGCTGGGCTTGATGGTGGGTACCTGTGGTCCCAGCTATTCGGGAGGCTGAGGTAGGAGAATTGCTTGAACCCAGAAGGCAGAGGTTTCAGTGAGCCAAGATTGTACCACTGCACACCAGCCTGGGTGACAGAGCAAGAATCTGTCTTTAAAAAAAAAAAAAATTCAGATCTTTTGAGACTTGCTATCGTGGGAACAGCACGGGAAAGACTTTCCCCATGATTCAGTTACCTCCCACTGGGTCCCTCCCACCACACGTGGGAATTATGGGAGCTTCAATTCAAGATGAGATTTGGGTGGGGACACGGCCAAACCACATCAGTTAGTGATTCCAAAAGATGACACCTCAAGAATTAGGAGAGGCCCAAAAATAAATAAAATTTCATAATGAAATTCTCACACCCTAGGATTGGTGGGGGAAGCATTAGGAACGATCTAGGCTTTTCCTCACAGTGGCAATGTGACTTCTTTTAGTAACACTCTACAAATGATAGCTTTATTTTTTTTAACAAATGTTTTATAAGAGTTGTAGATTTACAGAAACATGGCAAAGCTAGTACAGAGAGTTTGCATATACCCCACATCCAGTTTAATTTTGACATCTTGCGTTAGTGTGGGTCTATATTTGTCCCAGTTAATGAACCAGTGTTGATACATGATTATTTGCTAAAGTCCATGCTTTCTTCAGATTTCCTTAGTTTTTACATAATGCCATTTCTGTTGGAGGATCCCATCTAGGTTACCCCATCACGTCTCATCATCATGCCTCCTTAGGTGAGACAGCTTCTCAGACAGACGCTCCCTGTGTTTGACACCTTGACGGTTTTGAGGTGTGTCGGTCAGGTATTTTCTAGAATGCCCTCTATTGAGATTTGCATGATTTATCATGATTAGACTGGGAATGTGGCTTTGGAGGAGGAAGGCCAGAGACAGGTAAAGTGCCCTTTTCATCACACCATCTCCAGGGTGCTTACTGCCTGCGGGACTTACCACTCTCCATTACCTGGCTGAGGTGTGCCAGGAATTTCCACCATGAGATTCTTCTTCTTTCTCCTTTCTATGCCGTAGTCCCAAGAAGGAAGTCACCACCTACAGCCCACACTTAGCCAGTGGGGAGTGACGCTTCACCTCTGTGAGAGCTGAGCAGCTACGTGAGTTCGTTGAGATTTTTCTGCAAGGGAGATTTGTCTCTTCTCCATCTATTTATTTATTCAGTCATTTATTCCAGTATGGATTTATGGATATTTATTTTATTCTTTGGGTTATAATCCAGAACAACTTCATTTTGTTGCTTACATTATTCCAGGCATTGTGATTTTGAATAATGCCAATAAAAACCAAGCAAGTATCCAAATAAGTGGCTGTTTACCAAGCACTTTTTTTTTTTTTTTTTTGAGACAGACTCTCGCTCTGTCGCCCAGGCTGGAGTGCAGTGGCACAATCTCGGCTCACTTGAAGCAGTTCTCCCCACCTCAGCCTCCTGAGTAGCTGGGATTACAGGCAGGCACCTAGCTAATTTTTGTATTTTTAGTAAAGGCTTGGTTTCACCATGTTGGCCAGACTGGTCTCAAACTCCTGACCTCAAGTGATCCACCCACCTCAAAGAATGAGTAGAGAATATAGAATGCAGAGCACATGATCAAAAGTAAAGTAAAAGGAGAGCTTGAATAGGAGGGAGCTGCCCAGGACAATCCTAGTTTAGTGTTAAAATTAAGAGACACAAAGGGAAGGGGCGCTTGATTATTTTAAAAGCAAGAAGGAAAGAGAAGTCCCAGCCCTTTTGTTCCAGGCTGATGCTGCTGATGTCAACAAAGAGAAAACAGAACTGTTCAGCTTAAATTATACTTTGTTCATTATCAAGGAAAATGATCTTCAAAGTGGAAGAGGTAAAGTAATAGTGATTCGAGGAAACTAAAGCCCATAATAGTTGTGGAGAGCACCTGTCAGCACAAACCCTGTCTCATTTCTGATTCAGATGAATCACATTCTAGCATCAAAGGGAACTTACAAAGGAGATTCCTAATGTTCGTGGTATTAGAGGAACTGCGGAGAAGAGATCTGATTTCGGAGGCCAGAGTTGAAAGAGCAGATAGATTTCTCAAAAAGCAGAGGCTGGGGAATGTAGTATCAATCCCAGCTGAGATATATGAATGAATGCAATCTGTCATGAATTGACCAAAACAAAATTTACAGGAGATTCACCTGCCTTTCTTTTGTGGCTGTTGCATAGATGGCCATGCCACAACAGGCACATCTGGATTCCAGCTAGACTAGGCTGGCAGAGCCTGGCACGAGGTCCCAGAGGATGAGACGCAGAGCTGCAGCTTGGCAGCCAAGTGAACAATTAATGTTTAAATCTCAATCAACCTGGAGTAAGGTTTCTAATTGTGTTGGATGCCTCTCGTGTGCCATTTCCAAATCCATTCACATCACCTCATAGTCCAGTGCTCCCTACTCTGTGCAGGGGCAGTGGGACGGCCCTCAGCTCAGGACCATGCCATGTGCCCCAGCTTCCTCCGCCAGGGGAGGACGGGAGCCAGCAGCTACATGCAGTCCTAGGAAGATCTCGCTGGCATCAGCATCAGTGGGCCCCGTGGCGGCGGCTCAGGAACGCGTCCTGCACTGACTCACCCACCCACCCGTCTCCTTCCTCCCTTCCTGTACTTCTGCTCCCTGGCATCACATTCCCAAATACACTCTGCCTTCTGGGGAGCCCCAGCTGAGAAACTGGGGGTACGCCAGAGCTTTCTTGTGCCCCACGCTCTTCAGCTTTGGAACGATGACTTGAATGTTGATTTTGTTGATGGCATCATCTAATTTACAGATGACTTGAAACCAGGTGGGATAGCTGATAGTAATGGAAATGCAGAAAGATTCCTCAGTATGCAAAATTATACATAGGATCACTTGATATGGCATCAAGGACAGAAGAAATGAGAGCATGTGAATATTCTAGAAAAGATGAAAACTGGCTGAGAACCAGGGAGGGAAAATGGCAGCCCCTGCCACGCATGGGCTGGGGCTCGGGAATGTGCTGTGACTAGTGACTGAGAATTTTTCAAAGCAGTATTAATAACATCTGTCAAGTGGTACCAAAAAACTGACAATAAAGACATAGTCTCCTGCTCCTGTGCCTTACTTACTCTTGTCATATTCCACAGAAACAACCTGTTGAGCCGTTGAACCAAACACACTGAGTCCATAAAACCTCCCAAGAAAAGATGCGTGGGAATGTATTACTTGAAATTTTATATATCACTTATGTTCAACCTGTAGACCGCTACATCTAGAATTCCATAACAGAAATCATTTTTAAGAATTTGGAAGGTACTAATATCATTCCATTCCTTCTAGCTACCAGTGCT